AGTGAGCGAGCGGCTGCGTGGTGCTCAGTTGCTGACTGAGGTTAAACCACGCGACACACGTGCCCAATCCAATAGGAAACATGCTCACAATGGAGACCTGATTCTTTCAGCACTTAGGAAGCATTTCATCAGCAGGTTGTAAAATTCTGCACCTGTATATGGGACAACCATATGTAAGATGTATTGCAACCCAATTTTACTGGATTCATTGTGAAAATCTTGTAAAACGTTTGTGTGCCCAATCCAATAGGAAACATGCTCACAATGGAGACCTGATTCTTTCAGCACTTAGGAAGCATTTCATCAGCAGGTTGTAAAATTCTGCACCTGTATATGGGACAACCATATGTAAGATGTATTGCAACCCAATTTTACTGGATTCATTGTGAAAATCTTGTAAAACGTTTACACTACCCACTGATCAAAACGCATAGATAAACCACCTGCAGGGAAGAACCATTACTCTTTCTCACTTAACAAATCTGAAGGTTGAGAGATGCTGCTGATGTGGTGACATCATGCTGATGTGATATCATTTGTTCTCCTTTTTAGATCTGCTGTAGCTACACACCTCTCTGCCACCTATGGTTTGGTTAGTTTGCAGCAAGTACATTGGAGTGTAGAAATAATTTATTGCTGATCATATTACTGCTGATACTGCTTTTTTTTTTTTTTTAATTATCCCTTCTTTTCAATGGATGTCTTTTTTGAGTTTGGAATCCATTCATCAACACTAGTGCCCAATATGGTATTTGTATATTGGTGAGGATTGAGTTACATTTCTTGAAGCTTTGCGGGGGGGGGAATCTCTGTTCTGTCTGCCTTCAGAATCAGAGTGCAATTAAATGAGTGGTGGAGTCAGGAGAATCTTACATATGTGAGAACTAAAATAATGTCAATAATTATGATGTTGTATATGCAATCGTGAAATGTGGATAAACTACCACTTGCTAGTTGCAACAGGATTAGAAATAGATCTAGCATACAGAAAAAAGGCGTTTGTGCTTCTTAGCTGTGTTCACTTCATATGCCAAAGCCAAGGTCTAATTTCAGAAGCTGGTTTTAATATTTTTGTGCACTTTAAGCCATCAAAAACATTAGTTTGCTTTAAAATTCTTATACTTTTGTCAGTCCTAAGTAATTGTCATTTTATCTTTCTATTAGTATGCTATTATAGCTCCCATTTTTCTTGCTTTCCCCTCTCCCAGTGCTAGTTTTTCAACCCAGATCGTTACTTTGGGTGTGTTGGAACAGCTTTCCATGTATATTTTTAATTGTTAACAGTTTTTTCTGAGCATTAAAGTGTCAATTTAAAATAACATGCTGGTGTACTTAATGGGCCCTTTATTCTAATATGTCATTGTTGTAATTTTTAACATTTTTATTAGTATTTGGTTGCTTTTGCTGCATTTCGTGTTGTAACATTTCATTTAACATAATTAGAATTTGGAGGTTTTTGGAAGGAATGTATTTTCGAATGTATGAAGATGGAGTAAGTTACTGTACTTTGAACTGTTACCAGTACAACTGTGTTGCAGCTCAAAACACCTTCAATTATAGCAATATAATTCTAAGTTATATTCAAGAGAAATGCACTTGTCCAGTCATGGACATAAGAGACAAATCATCTCTGTTACATGAAAGTAATAAAGAGGAAAAGGCATATCTAAGGTAAACAATGCAACAGTAAATTCATCTGTGCCATGGAACAGAAAACTCAAAAGTTAGCTTTCCTTTATCTCCAGCATTGTCTTGATGCCCAACTTTTGATGTGTTTCTCAATTTCAGTGTTTTCTCTTTGGATTTCTGTAATTTTGTTCCCCCTCAAACAGTAGCATGTCAAAGGCCTCGGCATGACTCCAGTTACAGATGTATCATTTTGGAATGATTAGGGATTGATACGCCAGAACAAATGTTTCTAAAATGATGTTGCAGGTAGGAAAAAGGAGAGAGAATTTTTGCAGTTTCAGAGCTTGCGTGGGGAGGTGTTACCTGTTTCTAAAGGAGGCTATGAAGTTAGATGGGAATCGTAGACATATCAAGTTGGAGGGCTTCCAAGAGGCCTTGTTCTGTGATTTTCCCAGGGGTGGAAGTGAGGGTGACCTGCATATAGTTCCCTGTGTTGTCCTTCTTGCTGTAAGATTTACCTTTCTGAAATCATTGGGGAACCTCCCCAGGCTTCACAACCTTTCAAAGACCATAAAGAGCGGCTTCATGATGATGCCAGCCAGCTCTCCCAGTACTCTCAGATGTGTCCTATCTTCTCCTATGGGCTTGTATGAGTTAGAGAACAGTGTCTAAGTGGGGGAAACAGGTTGTGGCTATGGTATGATGGGAAATGTTAAACATGGAGGAAATGGGTAAGTTTTCTCGCCTATGAAATAAATGAACAAGTCTAAAATTAACTTTTAATTTACTCATCTAAAAAAAAAAAAAAAGCACCACGCAGTAACTCCTCCACTGAGGAACATACAGCTTTTGTCAGATGTTTTAGCCTAATATTTTCAAGACAGCTGAGGTACTTCTGGTGCAGGCATGTGGAGAGGAGCAGTGTGGTGTAAATGTGGAGAGGGCAGGGTGAGTTGAATGGAGGATGGTTATTTGACATACTGCAATGTGGAGTGGAACTCACTCCCTGTAGCAATTTTGTTTCCCTACCCCCCATATGTTTTTGAAGAGGTTTTTCATCTGTTATTTCCTGGACTATGGACCATTTCTGGGTTATCTATGGCTGTTTGAATTGATAATGTAAGAGCTGCTTATGTGTTTTTTGTGACAAGCTGACCTATTTGGTTGCATTCAGTCTATATAAAAAATACATATTAAAACACAAGCATAAGGTGAAGAAAATCATGTAAGTGATTTTAATAGCTTGTATACAAAGAATCCTGTTATTTTGCAAAGAAAATACAAAAGTGGTGGTCTGGGATAACATAACCAACTTAGTGTAGAACGCTGGGGGTGCCAGTAAGTTTGCAAACTGAAAGGTAAGTGATCGTGTTTATAACGTGCATGTTTCTTTGTGGCATCTGTATTTAGCCAGTGGAATTCCCCGTGACAAACTATCACTGAGCCAGGTTTTAAATCAGGGTTTTAAATACAGTTTTTTTAAATAAGGATAATGAAGTTATCCATAGTTAAAATAGATGATAGGGAAGGATCATGGGGCATGGAAGCCTCATGTTTTAGAACTTAGGCCAAGAACTTTGAGCCAACTGCTGTTCATTAAAAACATTGTCACTCCTTTCTGAGAGGCCTCCAGTCTGGACCGCTATTGGCGACCAGAAGAATCAAAGTTCTGATTCACTGTTGCAAATCCCAGGTGCCTTCCTTTAATTGATGTCTGCAGTGGCTGACTTCTTAAAATTAACTTTTATTCATTTTTATTCTTCAACTACTAAAAGGCTGTTGAACTGCACAGCTTCTGGTTATTACGTTTTTTGTCCAGCTGACATTATTTTTTATGTAATTCAGCATAAACTGTAGATTTCTTTTGTGAATAGATACCCATTTTCATACCCCTGCTGTGTTACAGTTCCTGAGCTATAATACATATATATGGCTGTGGTTCAGTATAAGCTGGGATGATGACATAACGGGCTGGTAATAACTCCTGGTGTATTTTATTGATATTGCTTTCTTAAACAAAATCACATCAGCTATAGACGACGCATGTTGCCTAAGAGGCCAGTAGTTACAGTAGGTGTGTGTAATTTTGCACATTGCTTTTGCATGCTTTTAGCTAATTTTGTAGGAATAGCTAATGTTTGGCACCCATGAAGGTCGTTTTTATTCATCTGGCATGTTCCCATTCAAATACCCATTTAATGTGATCATCAACTATAGAAATAGTTAAACAATACTGTAAATGGACATGTTTTCTTTGTTGGGATGATTGCTGACACACTGAATTCTTTTCATTAAGTAATTGGACCACAAGCATCTCTTTACTTTGGAAAAAGAAGAGGAAAAAAGCTCTAGCAAATAGATTTTCTCTCAGTTTTCATATTTGCAGTGCTTATATAGGGGGATATAATTAGACTTTCAGGATAAATTACACAAAGTATTGGATGAAAATCAAGACTAAAATAAACATTCAATTCCTCTTTTTTGCATTTGACCATTACACACAAACATTTGGTTATAAATAGATGCCTCATCCATGTTGGAGTAACATTTCAGGTTCAAAGTAGGATTCTGGAAAAGAAAATCCTTTTTAAAGTGATTTAAAGCAATTATGCTATTTGAAACCTTCAGTTAGTTTATGAATCTTTATTACAATTGGATTACTTTCATATGCTCTGTAATAAATACCAAAAAGCCCTCTAAAGTAAAACGTGTTCCAGCTGAATAATCCTTAGTGAGAGAATTTGCAACTGCAGTTGTTTTTAGCTCTTGATAATCTTACATTAGTAGGATATCTATATAATATTAGTATACACAATAGCTACTGTTACAAGAATAAATACCATTGACGTATACTGTCAACCTGGCGGACGTAATCTAATTCATTTGATGTTAGCACTTGCCTTGCTTGAAAGAAGTAGGAGCATTCAAATTCTGAGGATAACACGGCGTCATTCTGTGTCTACCATCCTGATTCAGAATTTGCTGCTGTATGTAGAGATCACTAGAAAGTATAATTTTAAAATTTTTCAGGATAGTCTGTCTTGTGCATCTGATCTTGAAGAATGTTAGTGTATTTCTGAAGGTCATCTGTTAACCATGACAGTGTAGGCATACACATGCACAAAATTGCTATGACTTAATACTTACCTTCATCTACAGAGAAGAGTCAACACAGTGCAGAAAGCAGTAAGACAAAGTTTTTAGCTATTGCTCTCAAGCCGTTTTTGAACAGTAACACTTTATTCCTGGGTGATCAAGTCCTGCTAGATTCATACCATACATGAAGCACAGCAGGTTTTCTGTAAGTGCTGTCTGGCTCTCCTAATTGTATGCACCTTCCACACATTGAGAAAGAGTAGAAAATACCTTTCTTTACTCAGTAATCTTCTGGTTTGAACCAAGAAAATCAAAGCTGAAGTTTGACACCCATGAGCCAAATAGGAAGAAATTACTAAAAGCAGTAAATGCCAGGAGGTGCTAGTTTAATTCTAAGCTATACTCCAGACCCTGTTGTGCTGTCACTGTGTGAAGAGTGAGAAAATCAGTCAGGCTTTGACATACAGGAGGACTCTATAGAAATTTCTATGACCTGTCTGCTTAATGAAACATGTCTCTAGTGCACACTGATGCAGTGTTCTTGGGGTTGCACATAATGTAGATAGTTGCCCTACAAGTGTGCACACCTAACTTTTTATTCATGTCAGTAATACTATTGCTGTTGGGGAAATGATTCATAAACTAAATTAACTAAAAGTTCAGTACAACTAGGTTTGGGTTCAAATGTTTGTTGGTTTGAATCCCAAAATCATAAGCTTCTGGGAGCCAAGAACCAGAGATTAGCATCTTTAATGTCATTTACAGTACAAAAAAACCTGATCCTTTAAGTGGACTTCCTTTGATTGCTTCCTCATTTAATATGTTTAAAATGTATTCCTTTTTCCTTACGTGATCATTGCCTTTAGTTTCAGTAAAATTAGAAACTGAGTGCTATGCAAGCTTGACAGTCTAATTTTCTGATGGGCAGCTGACATTCTTTAACTGCGCTCAAAAGAAAAATGACACCTCATTTATCTGGATAGTTTCCCTCTGTCTTTGAGAGCTGACAGTTTGTCAGTGTAAAGGTGCAGCTTTTTCACTATTCAGATTATTGCAAAATATTTTAGAGTAGTTCAGGTTATAGTTCTTGAAAGAAGGTAGAGCTTTTTATAGACACTTTCCTGTCTTGTCTTTTCAACTCTAAAACTTCCCCTACTTGACCAAGCATAGTTATCAGTCATGGTTATTTATGTATTAGAACTAAAAGGACAGGAATAAAATGTACTTTCTGAAATGTGACAGGAACCAACTTTTATCTCTTTGTCCTAGTTCCATCTTCTGTCTGTCCATAGAACTGTTCATTAATTCTGTCATTAATTCTGTTACCTGTGGATTCTGCTATTTAAAGTTCTGCAGGGCCCTTTAAAATTTGGACTGTTTTTCATTTGTCCTAGAACATTTTGATACGGTCTGCAAACCAGTTTTTAAAACCGTCGACAGATTTGGTCCAGTCTCTTCCTTAGGCTTCCCCTCTCCTTTCATGCTAGCCATTACAATTTGTTTTCTATTCCTGAAATTTTCTCACTTCTTCTGCAGAGTATCTTCATTACTGATGGAAAAAACTTCTAGCCTAGTGCTCCCAATCCATCTCAGCCAGAACCGTTGTATTTCTCTACCATACGAAAATTGCAGTTCAGGAGAATTCTGGTTTATTTCAACAGTTCAAGCATGCATCAAATTGCATTTTAAAATGGAATCCTAAATTTATTGTCTCCTCTCAAAAGATATCCATGAAAACCCATAGAAGTCTTTAGAAGTGTTACTTGGACTTACTGTTTTTGAATATACAGCTTCAAGAGGAACATAGTACAAAGTAAAATTGAGTGTTACTGCATTGTTTTAGCAGAATATAGAAGAATCAGTAACTGTCCACCAAAACCTGTAGATAACCCTGAACCTGCTTCATTTCCTTTCATACTGAGCACTTAAACCCATCTTAAATCTTTTCCATCCTCTTGTCTCTCACAATGCATTCTGAAGATGTGAATTTCATGCACGTTTTAGTCTCTGAAATCCTACCTAATGAAAACCACAAACAAAATCTGTAATGCTGAAAGGCATTAAAAGGCTCACAAGCAGCTATCTGTGCAATAATCATCGTACCAGTCGTGTGCTTTATTTAACTATTACTATACTTCTATGAGATCTTTTTTGGTTTTGACTTAAAACATACGAAAACTTTATCGGTATAAATTGTTAGTTTCACAGAGGTCAGTACTGGGTCCGGTTCTGTTTAATACCTTCATTAATGATCTGGATGATGGGACACAGCAAGTTCACTGATGACACAAAACTGGGAGGAGTGGCTGATACGCCAGAGGGTCGTGCTGCCATCCAGAGGGACCTTGACAGGCTGGAGCAACGGGCTGACAAGAACCTCATGCAGTTCAACAAAGGAAAGTGCAAAGTCCTGTACCTGGGGAGAAGCAACGCCATGCACTATATGCTGACAGCTGCCTGGCTGGAAAGCAGCTTTGCAGAAAAGAGCCTGGGGGTCCTGGTGGACACCAAGTTGAACATGAGCCAGCAGTGTGCCCTTGCTGCAAAGGCAGCTAACGGTATCCTGGGCTGCATTAGGAGGATTATTGCCAGCAGGTCAAGGGAGGTGATCCCCTTCTCCTCCTCAGTACTGGTAAGGCCATACCTGGAGTGCTGTGTCTGGTTCCGGGCTCCCCAGTACAAGAGAGATACAAAGATACTGGAGACAGTCCAGCAAAGGCCTACTAGGGTGATTAAGGGACTGGAGCATCTCACCTATAAGGAAAGGCTGAGAGAGCTGGGACTGTTTAGCCTGGAGAAGGCTCAGGGGGGAATTTCATCAATGTGGACAAATATCTGAAAGGAAGGTGTAAAGAAGGAGCCAGGTGCTTTTCAGTGGTGTCCAGTGGCAAGACAAGAGGCAATGGACAGAAACAGGAGATTCCATCTGAAATCAGGAAACACTTTCTCACTGTGAGGGTGACTGAGCACTGGCATGGGTTGCCCAGAGAGGTTGTGGAGTCTCCGTCCTTGAAGCTATTCAAAAGCTGCCTGGACATGGTCCTGGGCAACCAGCTATAGGTGACTCTGCTTGAGGAGGGGGGATGAACCAGATGACCCACAGAGATCCCTTCCAACCTCAACCATTCTGTGATTCTGTGAAGCAGCGATAGAAATAATTAGCTGTCCACACTGTTTTAACTTCTGAAAGTTCTTTCAGAGATTGCGGTTATATAGAGTTGAACAGAGGAGCTGGGTCAACAATATCATAACAATATGAAAACTCTTTCTCAGAGCATCCGTAGTAGGTTTTCCTGCCTACTAGTCCCCCTTGGTATCTCAGAATGTACTAGGAATTTTCTGTATGTCAAAACAAGATGGAAATTAAATAAGGAATTAAATCAATTAGACAAGCCCATTTTCCCCTTGAAAATAGCAATTTAAACTCATTTATGTAAGTAGTTCTAGGTCAATTTATCAGCAACCAGTACCAGAGGATCCATCTCATTACACAGCTATAGCGCAGCTCAGGCAAGCAAAGTTACAGCACCTGAAATCAAATGAAACAGAAGGAAAATCAGGACCCAGAGTGACTGATATATTTCAAGCTAATTTATTCCATCTTTGCCAGAATTTATATAGCAATTCAGGTCCAGTATGAAAAAAGAAAAACAATCTAAAGGATTAGGTTGAAGTAGTGTTTGATCATTTCTCCCTGGAAAGTCATTGTCATAATTTATATAGGTAGTCTGGGCAGCATACCTGTATTAATATATGGACCTCCCAACTGGTTTTTTGGTCTGATGTTGGCAATGAGCCCAAGGCACGGGGAAAAACAAAGTTACAAAAACTGTGTGATAGTCAAGGCTCCTGTCTTCAGCTACTGTAAATAATTTCCTTCTGGTTCTGCATCTCCTAGTGTATTTCTTGCTGTAAGGACTGTATTTCATGAGCAGAAACAATTGAATCCATGCTGCACCAGATTATTTGTTCCTTTTGTCCTAAAGACAATTCTGGTAACTTTTCAGGCTGATTTATGGTTGTTTCTCATATGTTAAAATTCTTACATAGCCTAAGAAGTCCTAGTTGCAGTCTGGGCTCATGAAAGAGAAAACTCACATAAAGTCCATAATTATTTTAGGTAATATACAAAACAGTTGGCCTGCTTGATTCAAATCAGTTCACATTAGAACTGTGGTCAAGAACATGTCTTCGTGGACATCTCTTCTGTTAATGTTACCTTTTTCTTTTGTTAAAGTTACAGCAGAAAGTGTGAGGTTAAGTTTGGTTTCAGCTCACGTACTTGTGGTTTTTTGATTCTCAACAGCTTTTTTCATAGTTATCCTCTGTTTGACATATGTGACTCTTTTCCTGTTTTGTTTTCTTTATATTGTCTTTTAGTTCTAGATAGTAATCTGGTGATTTGATTTTTTTTTATTTTGTGTTTTTTAACGAATCTGTCATCAGCCTTTAATATTGTTGAACAGAAGGTTTTTATGCACTTCTTGCCCATGAAAAAGACAGTGCTCTGTTGATTCTGAGTGTTGCAAAGTATGTGTATTTTCTTGCCATGTAAGTAATATTTCTTTGGTAACCTCCACTCAGGCTAAATGTCTTGCTTGTGCCTCAGTTCTGGTCTCCTCGCTCCGATGCGGTCTCTTGGCTCTGCCTGCTAAGTGTGTGTGTGCATGTAGCCCATGGAGATGATAATGATTTAGGTGACAATGTATTAGCGAGGTATAGAACAGTTTTCTTGTGTTCAAGCGTTTAGTTTCCTGAGGAGGGGAGACAGCATTGGACATTGGCTGCATGGTGTAAAACCGGAGATGAAGACCTGTAGTATGATCTGCAAAACACATGCCATAAAGCTATGAGTTGTATTGGACCCAGTGTATTATTGGAACAGTAGGACCTTACAAAGATTATGTGGAAAACGCTGTTGCAGAAGCATGAGTAAGCCAGGCTCCTTAGGAAACTTGGCCCTACCTCCTTTTCACTGAACCTAGCTGATTTGTTGTGAAGCTTTCCCAAAGGCTGACTGAACTAGAGCGGTGAATGATGAGAGCTAACTGGCTGAAACAACCTGGAGTAGATAGCAATGATGCTAATGTGTTGTTGGAGGCATTCTGTTCAGTGCTGACAATCTGATTGCATAAAATAGTTTGTCAATCATTTATTCAACAGGTTCCTAAAACTTCCTTCTCTTTCTCCCTTTTTCAGACAGCGTCAGAGGCCATATGCGTGGTTTTCTGCTTAATCTGTGAAGGCATTCACAATTGTTTCACTCGCATGCGGAACTCATCCCAGTTCCACCTTGTTGCCCGCCTGCAAGTGGGGATCCATGCAATGTAGTTTCTGATCCTGCCCGCAAAAGAATTTCTTAGGCCCATGTTTTCCGACAGTTGCATCTCTTTCATTGCTGGTATCACTGAGAGGTGCAGGATGTGCAAGGCTGGGAGTAGTGCAGGCAGTTTAGCACCATTTTTTGAAGTTGGCTGTGCTGTCACCATCCTGCTGAAGTTGTCTTTTACATCAGTTGCAGATTTTTCTGCATTCAATGATTGTGTTGCAAGTGAGGCCAAGTAGACTGACTCCCTAATGAACGGGGTAATGTTAAATTTGGGAGATTATCATTCTGATCCCCTATGCAAAATACCTTTGGTACAAAAATTGATAACACGGACAGTTAGAAGTCTGTTTAAAAGACATATGCAGAAGGGAATATGAAATTTTACTGGGCTTTAAAAGGTAAATTATTGTTTATTTATGAGGGAAAATTAATTCTTTACACTGTAATGAAATGCAGGAAACTTCAACACAAATACCACTACAGTCTTTAAAGAAGGATCAAGTATGTGTGGAAAAAACTTACTGGAAAAAGCAAATTAATTTGGAAGACCTGATGCAGAAAAAGCATTTGGAAGCTTTTGAATTAGTATTTCCAAAGCACAGTGTTTCTCTGTACAGAAGGTAATTGGATATTACAGTGTCTGATAGTTTTGGTGACTTTCTTATCCTTTCAAGTAGGTTTACTAAGAGGGAGGTGGGGTACCAAGATTGATTTAGCTGATTGTATTGCTGGATTTTCTTGATGCCTCACAGTTTTCTTATTAGCATAGGACCGACAGAGATTGTTACCTAGCATATGACAGAGATAATACTTACTCAATAAATACTACTTTTAAATAAACTATATATAAAATTGGTTGAAAAGCAGAATTGCATAGCCCCAGAGGAAAAGTAACGACACTGAACATTTCATAGATAATTTGGACTTGGATTCTTTTGTTCTGTCCCACTTTGCAAGAAGTATACGTGTTACATTAGCATCACAAATGCAGAATATGATCATGCATGCCATTAAGTACAAATCAAGTGGTTTTTACACACATCATAGTGTGATTTAGTGACTTAGGGTAGTGTGGTATTTGTGGTTAACTTTCCTAGCCTCAATGAGGGTGAAATACTTAGAAGGGAGGAAGGATGGATTTGTGGTTTAAGTATGAAATTGGAAAACAGGAGATCTGTTTCTGGTTTGATGAAAGATGATTTGATTTGTGGGAAAATAATTTTCTGTTTCTTAATTTCTGCTTATGTAAACGGGAGATTTACAAAAAGTATCGCCTGATTCCGCTGAATAGAGGACTTAATTCATTAATACTTGTATTGTGTTCTAAGACAGGAAGGAGAAAGTTTAATATTAAAAAAGTGGACTTGAAAGAAGTTACTCATTGAATGCCTCCCTCGAGGAAAAGTTACCTGGCAGTAGATTGCCCTGAAAGCAGTATCTTTCACTGCTGTGATTACGTCCAATTCATAGCTACCTGTAACAATGAAGGTAAATTTTAAAGTTGTTTCTGTGTGATTTCTGTCATGTCTGCCATTTTCTATCATCTACCATATCTACCAATATCTGTCAGCCTAACATATCTATCACTTGTATCTTTTCAGCTCTTTTTTCTTAATACTGCCTGTCCAGTTGATGCCAGGGAGTATTCCAGAAACTGTTTTTGTTCTGTTGTTTTTCACCCTCGGGAACGGTTATAGCCACAAAGAGTGTATTAGAAACCTGTATTTAGCCCTGCGGCTGAAGTTTTAAACACTGAGACCTCTGGGCACAGTCTACCCCAAGTGAAGTGAAAGTAAGTATTGTTGTTCAAGAGGAACAGGTCCCACGCATACAAGAAAGGTTCATTTCACTAAAGAAAACTATAAGTAAGCTTCATTTCATTAGAACTGGGTTTCCTGTTGTTTACATGCTTTTTTAGTTGATGTTACTTGTATTACCAGCTACATATATTGCTTATGACATTGGTTCTTTAATGGAGCTTAACACTGCACTGTATTTTGTTTTTGAAAAATACGAGTACCGTACTGAGCGGTATCTTGAACACATTCCTGCATGAGTTTAACTGCACTGTGCCAGACGTCACTCTGTCACACTCGCCATCCCAGAAGCAGCAGTTGTCATCACTACCTTTACCCTCCCTGCAGCAGAATTAGCAAGCCCCACTCCTTAGAGCATTTCTTCACTCTCTGCTACCTTATCGCCAAAATTCAGTTTTGTGTGTAGTCAGGTGTGCCTTTATCACTTACGGTGTAGAATACAGCAATAGAATATATACCTAGGGCTTCGTCCCCTGGGAAATTCTAGATAATTCAGAACCTAACGGGCTTTCTAGTGGCATGGGCAACTGCCAAGTATTTTAGACTCTTCCTCTGCTCTCAACAAAGAGTATCTTAACAAGTTTAGGGTCATGATTTTCACAGAAGGATCTCAACCTGAGCTCAATATATCCATGAGACTGGAAGTCTGAGATGAGGATCATGGCTAATAGTGTGGCTGCTTTGGCACAAGGTACATAAAGATCTTCATGGGGGAATGGAAAAGAGTAAAATAAGCATGGTGGGAAGGATCACTCTGCTTGCATAAAATAAACACCTTTTCAGGCAAAATTTACCTTCCTATTTGCAATTGCTGCATGGGTTTTGACGTTTTCATTCACAAGGATACAGCATTGCTGTTCAAAATACTATGCCTTCCTCTGTGTTTCTGCTTCACTGTTGCAATTTGCAGCTAAAAACCTGACTATCATGTTGCACTCAACCAAGTGTCTTACCAGTATCTTTGAAAAAGCTTTCTTGGACACTTGTTCTTTTGTCCATGCTTCACTTCATCCTCTGCTTGGTAGCTGCGTATGTGCTAGTCATCCATCTGAGTGCTTGATGCACAGCTGCTGGACTTTTATTGCTAATGTCTTGCTGAACATCAGGTCAGCCTGCCCTATGGCTTCAGCATTTACCAGGCTTTCATACTGCTTCACTAAACGTAAGGCACGAGAGTGCTTCTAGTAATACTTCCAACAACTTCTCCATCTCCGTCTTCTGTATATTGTATACAGTAGTATGCAATATAGTATACAACATAGTACCGCTATGCAGCATTGCATGAAAGGAATTGATTTTATGACATGTCCCTTTGGACATCAGAGGAGAAGTGTCAGGTTGCCCTAGACCTTAATTCACAGTGAAGTTCAAATATTGCTTTTGGCACCTGTCCTGAACTTGGCTGCGATGTAATTTGTGGACACTTTTTTTCTACAAGGTGGAGAGATGCTGTATGCCCACCCATACAGCAGTGGGGTATGGAAGACAGCGTTACACACCTTTAACTTGTCAAGAGATTTGGTTCTTTGCCAGCTCACTCAGTAATCCTTTGAGCATCCTGGATATGAGAAACTACCTCATTAAGAAAACTCCACTGGCATTGATAAAGCATTGCCAAAATAAATTGATTCATAAATGACTCGATGTTCAGTCTCATTGATGGGTATGGAAGTGCAATACATGATCTTTCAGTGGCTGGTTAACTGTTTTTTCAGGCTGATGTTCCAAAACAAATTGCAAAGGCAGCAGAAGTTAACCAAGAGCAGACAGTCTTAATTGGAGTAGGCACCATGTCTGACCAGCACACTAGTATTAACATACAGGAGTGCCAAACAGGCTGCTGAGGAAATCTGAAATGCTGAGTGCAGTCTGGAGAGATTAAACGATCTTACTATCACTTGCGAGTATACATGCTTGAAAGGAGTAGCGTGAGCTTTAAAGTTGCTGTGTACATAAGTACCGCTATGCAGCATTGCATGAAAGGAATTGATTTTATGACATGTCCCTTTGGACATCAGAGGAGAAGTGTCAGGTTGCCCTAGACCTTAATTCACAGTGAAGTTCAAATATTGCTTTTGGCACCTGTCCTGAACTTGGCTGCGATGTAATTTGTGGACACTTTTTTTCTACAAGGTGGAGAGATGCAGGCAGATGCTGTTACCAGAAAGAAATCCCTGTGGTTATCACAAACAGGATTTCTCCCCTTTTGCCCATAAAATCTTGACAGTGAATTCATTCTGCATGGTCTGTTATCCCACATCACACATCCAAGTGGAAAAAAAAAAAGTGATCAATCAGTCAAGAGCTGGAAATCAGCTCTGTATTTCAGCAAGAATCTAACCTGAGCCAGATGCTCTCCTGTCTTTCCCAAATGCCGCTGTGTCATTGTCTTCACTGGCTATCGGCTTCTCATGCAAATGAAGGGAACCAGGTTTGGTCCTCGGTGCGGTTTTTATATCTATCTGAGTCCTCTAAGGGGGCTTGCTTGTTATCTAAGCATAGGTAACAAGCACCTTGCAGAATCATCACCTTGTAGCTTTTACAGTTATGTTTTCTCTGTGTCTGAAAAGTGCTGGGTTGAGGCTGTGGACAGAAAGCTTAGTATGGGGAACGTATGGTCCAGAAAAGATGACAAAAAGAGGGGAAGGGGCACTGGAGGGGGCTTTCTGCTGCAAACTTGAGCAGAAAGTGGTAAAACCACTCTGGGGAAGGGTGTAATTTTCGAAAGCTCACTGGCACAATTTGTATCTTGTGCAAAAAGTAGTTGTAGTAGTGTAGTGTTTGTGTAGTGTTGCTTGAATTATCTGTGGAGTGTTTTGAAGGTGGAAAATGCTCTGTACAGAACTACCAGCTCAAATTTAAAGCCTGAAATCGTATTTGGCATCCAAATGCTCCCTAAAGGGTTTGGCTTGGTGTTACAGCACAACCCAGATCATCTTTGTTTTCTGCTTCTAAGCTGTAGCCAGACCCTTGTAAGAACAGCTGATGAGCTTTAGCCTTGATTTAGGCGCAAATCAAAACCAATGCTGCAACCTAGTCCAAGTTGTTGGCCCCATCTGCCTGTAATCAGAGGGATCTCGCAGCAGCTCTGACCCTAAATTGGCAACAGGCTGTTATTAGAAGTGTCCCTCAGTAAGTCCTGAGAACTGTAGTTCATAGAAACAAAACAAAAATAACGGCTGTGTTTTAGCATGTTAATGTAGAGTGCAGATGCAGTCGTTGCTGTTGGTAGTGGTGCTAGGCTGTTGTTACATGCTGCGTGGGTAATGTTTAAAATTGTCACTTTTTTCTTCTGGACAAGGGCTGGGACACCTTGTGTCACACATGCCAACATCTGAGAGCTATTAATAGAGGAGTGTTTGAGCCAGAAAACAACCACATACACCTTGTAATTCTCTTGAAAAGCTTTATACTGGGAGAAGTTTGGTTGGCAAAAGAAGGCCAAATCTTAACGTTCTTGGCTGTAGATGTGGACTTTGCTCGCGGAGAGGAGTGGGTGGTCGCCCTACTTCATGAAGTTCAAGCTAGAAAAGCTTATAAAAGCTTAGTGTCTCCTTAGTGTCCTCAGACTGCGGTTTTTGCCTCGCTCGGCCCCTGTCAGAAGGAGTTTGGGGCTCGTTCCCACTAG